AAAATGCAATAGGAATACATACAAACATAAACGCATGTATACACACGTGCTTAAGTAGCCTAGACAAGAATACCGTCTGAAAGGCAAGTCTAGGTGAAATTCAATGGTATCTTGAGTTTTGAAGCACACTTAATATGAATATAGTGTCAGTTTAACAAGTCAAGGCTGTAGATCCCACTGGCAAGTGGAACACAACAGAAAAGTAATAAAAGGGGTTAGAGCTTAACTAATAGGCCTTAACTCACCAGGGCACCTATAACTTATCAATGAAGATAATTGCATTCCAATTCACTTATTAAAATCAATCGTATTCATTTTTAAATCAGTCACCTCTAGACAAATTAGCACTTAGTGAAACTTCGAAAATTTTATTGTACTAGCTAATAGAAAGATGTTGGAATACTGAAAAATTATCTTGAAGGAGAGAGAGTACCTTAAGACTATGAAAACTTAGATATTTAATTGTTATGCTTGTAATCGGGAAAAAATTCGGGATAACTTAATCGTATTTGCGCCACGAATGGATAGGTAAATCAAATAAAGAGTTCTCCAAGGAGCAATTCGTTCAGTTTTAATTTAGGCAAATATATGAACCCTTTCTGTATAACTTTTCATACAAAATTGTTATGGAAGTCTAAGAGACCAAGCTATTCATCACATGCACACACACACACATACACACACACACAATCGCCAGTGTCACACATAAAAAGCAATAAACGAAATTCAATAAACAAGTTTTCAGCCTATTTGAGATATTTGCCGTAGAACATTTTGATTAAATGAAGCTATAATCAATGTCATTCAATTTCTTAACAGATTTGAATTTAAAAAAATAGAAATTGATTAATTTTACATATCAGAAATTATGAATGAGGTGATAAATGACTCACTTCCGGCGGGGGGAAGAGAGGGCAGATTGAAATGTGGTTGGGCAGCCGCCATTACCAAATCGAGAAGTTCACGCAACTCCAACTTGACCGACCGGCCCGGTCCGCCTCCAAGCTTGCGAAGGTCGATACTTATGTCATCACAAGGACGCAATGACTCTACTGCCAAACCCTGGTCATTGGCAGGTATAAGAGGAACAGTCGATGTATTCGTAGGAGCAGAAGTAATGGCTGGTGGCGAGACAGGTGAATCTGTAGTTTTCTTTGCCCCCAAGGTTGTCAAATTGGAAGGGGAAAGTGGAACTTGATTGCAGGACGAGTTTGAGAAGGTATTATTGGATAGTGTCTCGGAAACCAGACTCTCGATAGTTTTCATGTTATCTGAAGATATGTAAAAGACACATAAAAGCCAATATCAAAAGGGAATTTTCCATTTGACATGGTTATCAGGAATAAAGGAAATAAAAAATTCCTGAAAGTGCAGAGTAAAAGTTTTTCAAACATAAAGATCAGTTTCGACCTAAGCATTTCAAAGTAATTGCCAAAATGAGTAGGCTGTTGCCCTTAGGCATGACAAATGGACCTAAAAATAAGGGACTTAGCGCTTTTATTACTTTTAGAGCCTAAAGAAGGTAATCGATTCAAAGGAATAAAAGTGAAGTTTTTATTTTTCAGTCTCTAAGACGATGGAGTAATCGAAACTCAATTATTTCTTCATCTGTTTTAGCGAATAAAGGCTTCCGACTAAGAATGAAACACCAATTATTAGTAGAATTTGAATGTGAAATATCATCTAAATCAACAGGAGAGAGAATAAAAATTATTATCTTATAAAAATAAACATACCAGAAGTATCTGAAGGGTCACAGACAAAAGTTCCGCCCCCCAAACCATCGGTAATAACTCCAACCGGTAGAGTGTGCCCACCTATCATAAGGACTCCCCTAAAAAGAAAGATCAGGAACAAATTGGGCAATAGTTTAAAAGCTAATTCGACAAATAGTACCACAAAGTAAGATTAAGAAACATGAATATATCTCTATACAAATAAATAAAAGTAATTACCGAGTACTTGTTCTGGGCAATAGAGGTATAGAAACTTGTCCAGTGCTCATTTCTGGATCTTCCTCTTCCTTAACCATTGCTTGAAAATACAATGAATTGCTGAAAATAAAGTAATAAAAGAAGGAACATTTCAAGTGAAATATGGACGAATAAGAATGCAATTATGGCGCTAAATTCTAATTCGTGAAATTAATTTTTAGTTTATCAGTCTGAACAGGATTCGATATGATCCAGGCGTGGTCGAAATTTCAGTCTAGGGGTCAGTTATCCTGCTTGCTCAGAGTCAGTCTGCAGATTTTAAAATATTGGTCTCTGCTTATGGAAGGTCATAGTCTGGCTCCATTCGCTTCCAGTGAAAATTAATTTTGAAGAGGTATAAAACGCCAAAAAAGAATTTGGCACTATCATAAGCGATGGAAATAGTTATGGTGACTGTCGTTGGATCGGTTTGTAATTCATGCGTTTTTCCTATTATCGATGGAGTGCAGTTTCAGCCCAAATTGGGTTTAATCCACGCAAATAACTTCACAATATAATGTGCGCTATAGTCTAGCTCTCACTCAAGTTGCATTTACCCATAAAAGTATTATTTAAAATGAATATCTGATATATATATATATATATATATACAACATAATTGAGGAGCAAGATAGACTTAAATGACGAAACAAGTTAAACCGAAGGTATGAATACCAAGATGGTGTGGCCTTTTGTGTGGTCGCATTCTCCTTTCGTTGTATAGAGGTTGTTTGACCTTGTCTTCGCAACATGGTCATATTGGTAGGAAGACTTAG